CAGCATCATCATCAGCATCATCAGAAGAAGCATCATCAGCAGCAGCAGCATCATCAGCATCGTCATCATGACCACCACTATCATTATCACCACCACCACCATCATCATCCCCAGCAGCATCATCATCAGCATCATCATCACCACCATCACCAATACTAATAACCATCGTCGTCATCATCATCATCATCATCATCGTCGTTGACGTCGTCATGATCGTCAACAGCATCATCAGCATCAGCATCAGCATCATCATTATCAGCAGCATCATCATCAACATCATCATCTGCATCATGATCCTGGCCCTCCTGGCCCTTCTCCCCCTCCTCCTCCCCCTCCTCCCCATCCTTCTGTACCTCATCTCACTCCTCATCTCACTCATTCTCGTCCACCCCCTCATGCCAGGCCTGCTCATCCTCGTGGTGTTATTCCTCTTCGTCGCTTTCCTAATCCTCCTCCTCCTCCCCCTTTCTCCTCATCCTCATCCTCTTCATCCTCTACCTCCTCAAAGACCTCCTCCGTGTCTTGTTCCTCCCTCTGCCCCAACTTCTCCTGCTCGCCGTGCTCCGCCTTGCAGTTCTCGTATCCCTCCTCGTATTATTCGTCGTCCTCCGCTTCGCAGTGCTCCGCCTGTTCCTGGTTCTTCTCCTCTCCCGTCCCTCCTGCCAGCAAGCCAACTCTCCCTGTGGCACCCCGAGACGGGCTGGCAGAGCGGGCCAGGCGTTTCGCCCAAGACTCCCTAACCCTTCATGCCCCGGACCTCTCTGGACAGCTTCCCGGGCGGAGCGCGCATGCTCTTCAGACTGTGGCTCTCGCCTTCCGCGCCGCGATCATTCGTCTCCGTACAACTGCAAGGGATTCGCGCATGGAGGGCGGGTCGTTTTGGACATGTGGGCCTCGCCATTAGCGCCGCGCAGACTCGCCTTACGAGGGGGCAAGGGCTTCTCGGATGGAGGGCGGCTCCATGTCAGAATGTGTCTCTCGTCTTACGGCCGCCCGCGTTCACCTTATGCCAGTTTGCAGCAGTATCACAGATTCTGCTGGCTGACGTCCCAGAAACTGTGTTTTGGTAGGTGTAGGGATGCCAGGTCGCGACAGTTACATTGGTTCGAGGTGTTGGCGTTCCAAAAAGGGCGTTCGAGCACGAACTAGGATTGCCAGCTCGCAACACTATCGTTGATACGCGGGGTTGAAGTCCCAGGGATGGTGCTTTGGCGCGGTCGACGGTTTTCGGACGCTTGTCTTCCAACGGGGCTCTTCCCGCAAAGCATCTGTTGTGTGTGTATATATATACACATAAACTATGAGCATGGAGGGATGGCCCACTGCACCAACGATGAGAAATCTTGCGCTCGCACTGGTCCTCCCCCTCCTCCTCATAATGCTCCCTTTCTTGCTGCTGCTCCTCCTCCTCCTCCTCCTTTTCCTCCTGCTCCTCCTCGCACTCCGCATCTCCTCTTGGTCCTGGCCCTCGCATGTCTCCTCCTCCTCTTCCTCCTCCTCCTCTCCCTCCTCCTCCTCCTCCTCTTCCTCCTCCTCCTCCTCCTCCTCCTCATCCTCCTCCTCCTCCTCCTCCTCCTCCTCGTCCTTCCTCCTCCTACTCCTCCTCCTCCTCCTCCTCCTCTCCTCCTCCTCCTCTCAATGCTCCACCTCCTTCTCCTCCTCCTCGCCCTCGTCATAGTCCTCCTCCTCCTCCTTATCATCCTCCTCCTCCTCTTCCTCCTCTTCCTCCTCTCAATGCTTTTCCTCCTCCTCCTTCTCATCCTCCTCCTCCGCCTTCTCTTCCTCCTCCTCATCTTCCCTGCTCTTTTCCGCTTCCTCCTCCATGCCAGGGATGCCTTCGGACCCTCGGTGTTGCTTCCAGGAGGCACCCTCGCCAGGGATGCCCTCAAAGAGGTGGTTTGGGCCTGGCCGGTCTCGATCCTCAATTCGTTACGTAGCACCCCGCGGTTGCGGATAAGAGTGAGGGGGCGTCGAGGACGTCGTCAGTCTGCGAGGCTCTGAACAAGCCCGCCGAAGGCGCCCAACTTTTACAAATCCTGCAGTGAGCCCACCGCGGGCGCCGATTTCTTCGTTCAGGCAATGGGGGTGGGTCGCGAGGTGGGTCGCGGGGTGGGTCGCGGGTGGGCCGCGGGCCGGGTCGCGGATGGGTCGCGGGGTAGGTCGCGGGGGGTCGCGGGTGGGTCGCGGGTGGGTCGCGGGTGGGTCGCGGGGTGGGTCGCGGGTGGGTCGCGGGTGGGTCGCGGGGTGGGTCGCGGGGTGGGTCGCGGGTGGGTCGCGGGGTGGGTCGCGGGTGGGTCGCGGGTGGGTCGCGGGTGGGTCGCGGGGTGGGTCGCGGGGGGCGGGTGGGTCGCGGGGTGGGTCGCGGGGTGGGTCGCGGGGTGGGTCGCGGGGTGGGTCGCGGGGTGGGTCGCGGGGTGGGTCGCGGGTGGGTCGCGGGGTGGGTCGCGGGGTGGGTCGCGGGCGGGTCACGGGCTGGGTCGCGGGGTGGGTCGCGGGTGGGTCGCGGGGTGGGTCGCAGGGTGGGTCGCGGGTGGGTCGCGGGGTGGGTCGCGGGGTGGGTCGCGGGTGGGTCGCGGGCGGGTCGGGGGGGACGACGACGACGACGACGACGACGACGACGACGACGACGACGACGCCGACGACGACGACGACGACAACAACAAGCAGAATCCTGCCTGCGGATCCCCACTTCAGCCCCGCACCCGGGAAAAAAGAATGAGCGTTCAGCCCCCTCACTCTGAGTTGTTCCTTCTCCAGGTCTCCTCACCCATCACGCTTCATGCTTCCTCCCTGTTCACCGCGCTCTTGCTTGAGGCATCCCCACGCGTTGCTCAAGGATAGCTCCCCCCTGAAGAACTTTCGCAATATGCCGCGGAGTCGCGCTCGCGCCTCGGCGCCCGCTACCTCCTCCGTCAGGCCAGGGGCGTCCAAACCCTTCCCAGAGCACAATTCGACAACAGAAGCGGAAGCGTAAACAGATGGTTCACTTGGACCTGCTCCTCCTCCTCCTTCTCCTCCTCCTCTTCCTCCTCTTCCTCCTCCTCCTCCTCTTCATATTCCTCCTCCTCCTCCTCCTCGTCCTCCCTCCTCCCTCCTCCCTCCTCTCTCCTCGGTCTCGGAGCCCCTAAATTGGAGGATGTCTCAAGCGCAACGGGCCATACCACCTCGCGCGCAGCATCTCGGAGCCCCGAATTGCGAGGATGTCTCAAGCGAAACGGACCAGACCACCTTGCGCACATGTTCACAGAGCTCAGAGCTGCAAGGATGCCTCAGTCGAAACGGGCTGGACCACCTCGCGCACATCTTCAGGGAGCTCAGAGCTGCGAGGATTTCTCCAGCGAAACGCGTCAGACCACCTCGCGCGCAGCATCTCGGAGCTCAGAGTTGCGGGGATGCCTTAAGCGAATGGGCCAGACCACCTCGCGCGCAGCATCTCGGAGCCCCGAATTGCGAGGATGTCTCAAGCGAAACGGACCAGACCACCTTGCGCACATGTTCACAGACCTCAGAGCTGCAAGGATGCTAGAGGCGAAACGAGCTGGACCACCTTGCGCACATCTTCAGGGAGCCTGGAGATGTCTCAGGCGAAACGAGCCAGACCACCTCTCGCGCGGCAGCCCCCCGAATTGCGAGGATGTCTCAGCATCTCGAGGCCTAGAGATGCGAGGATTTCTCCGGCGAGACGCGCCAGACAACCTCGCTCGCGGTAGCTCGGAGCCCAGAGTTGCGAGGATGTCTCAAGCGAAGTGGGCCAGATTACCTCCCGCGCGGCATCTCGGATCTTAGACATGACAGGATGCCTCAGGCAATACGCGCCAGAACACCTCGCTCGCGGCAGCTCGGAGTCGAGAGTTGCGAGGATGTCTCAAGCGAAATGGGCTGGACAACCTCTCGCGCGGCATCTCGAAGCTCAGAGCTGCGAAGATGTCTCAGGGTAAACGCGCTGGACCACCTCGCGCGCGGCATCTCGGAGCCCAGAGTTGCGAGGACGTCTCAAGCGAAACGCTCGATCCCGGCCAACTCAGAAACGAAAGTTGTGAGGATGTCGCAGGCGAAACGGCCAAGACCACTAAATTGTCTTTAGGATGTCTCTGGGCGCCTCTCCTACGACCGGAACTAGGTACGATCACAACAGCATCCCGTTAAGCAATCTGTTTGGGGGACGACCTTTCGACAGTCAAAAACCGAGCCAGGATGGACAAACGAGCCAGGATGCGAACACGATCTCCAGAATGGATGCCATCGAGAGGTCCATGGGGCCCCGTCACGACAAAGTCGTGACGTTGGATGTCAGGGGTCAGGGGAGGACAGATCGTTGACGCTACTTCTGCTGGAAATCTTCCTTGTGACGGCCAGGGATGAGCCACGGCTTAAATCTGACAGAGAAGATACTTTCGACTAGGAATGATAAAATGAACTGTGGCGTTGGAAAAGTATTTCACGCACCAGCACCAGCCACTAGTGCTTCTCCGCGTAGGCGCATGGTGGACATGACAGCGGCTTGTGTGCAATAGCACTTCAGTGCGCATGCTTTGGAGAATTAGAAAGAGAAAGTCTCGCCCAAAATTTCGCCGCCAGGGAACATGGTGCTATGGCAGCGGCCAAGCCTGTGCTGAAATAAGGAACAAGACAAGACATAAGGAACGAAGCCCTTTTTTTGGCCCGAAGACCGCCTGCGTGCACGAGGAGGGCTAGAGGAACAGCCATTGAAGGAACTGATGAACATCGAGCCCCTTTCGTACCAGCACTTTGACTGTACCAGACGCTCGGGGAAATTCCAGGCGATGTTACGCCGCTGAGGTTGTTGGTTGCGGGTCCCAGGACCCGAACATGTGCCTTGAACGCCAGAACCACGCAATACCAATGCCACAGTGCTTCGTCGCAACGCTGGAGGTCTCGGCTCTCCTCTCACAGCATTGCCCCCTGACCTCTCGGCACGTTCTGGCCAGGATGTCGAAACGAATACGGATGATTATCAGGAGGCCTCCCCAAGACAATAAAGAACCCAAACATGCGAATCTCCCTTGTCAGAACTACCGCTCATCTTACTCCTCCCCCTGGAGGCGCAACGCGAAAAAGAGGGAGGATGAACAACAGAGAATCACGCGCGTTGTCCCTGCCAAACTCCCCCTCCTCCTGCCCTCTCCCTCATACTCCTCCTTTGGTGGGCTCTGAGGGTTGTCATCTTCCCGCATCCTTCCATCGTTCTACCTCGTCGCTCCTCTCCTCTTCCTTTTCCTCCTCCTCCTCCTCCCGTCCTACTCTCTCAGTTCTGTCCATCCTTCCTACACTCCTCCTCCTACTCCTCCATCCATCCTCCCCTGGCCCATTCTGTCAAACGCTCTTCCCCATTATCCCCATCATCCACTTCTCATTAATATTTATGGTTTAGCTTGTACTCCCACGTATAATGTTTCACCATGCGCGTAGGGAACCGTATGCTTGTCAATCGCAGCACTGCTAATTTCCACCCATAGCAAGTAGTAGCAGTCTGGGTTACAGTAGTCGTACATGTGGCGTTGCTCTTCAGAAAGACCTAGTGGTGCATTTAGCATTACCATTCACATGCTCGGCATTACTAGCACTTACCTGCGTGGCAATGCGGCAACGCGTCTTCTTTATCTCATACGCGTGTGCTGCTAGCATGGCGGCTCACCATACTTCCCCGCGTAACCCTGAAAGGCCTTCAGAATCCCCCCAAGAGAGGGTAACTAAATATTCTGTTCGGCGGCTTAATTGAAGGACTGGGGTCACACTAATAAGGGGTAACTATTTTTTGTTCCGCGGCACCCGCCGCGCAACAACGACGACAACAGCTACGACGGGACCCCTGGGAGAGGCGATCTCTGATCAGGGCGAGGAGGAGCAGCAGGAGGAAGAGGAGGGGCCAGTTTTAGAACGAGTCCTATTTCCTATTTACCGCCGGGAGAAAAAAGGGGCGGCAAAACAAAAGACCTCCCTCGGTTACCAAACCTCCGACGATCGGGTTTTCTCAATCGTGGCGCTCTCCCGTTATGTCGACCACCAGGGGGCTGCTCTCGGGCCGCTAGGCCATCAGAGCAGTGGATTCAGGGCCGGAGAAGCGCGGAGGGAATACGACAACGTACGAGAGCCAGGCCAGGCCGCTCGGCGGCGGCCGCTCCCCCGACATCCATCAACATGAGAGGGAGGAACAGGTACCGATACTGCTACCCTTCGCCTGTTTTCCCCTTCATCGACGCACCCCGGGGGAGGTCCAGGGAGTGGCGGTATTGGTACCCTCTGGTTCCCCCACAATCCCCAGGAATGACGACTGCTTTCCCCATGGGTTGTCGTCCCGGATTCATTGTTGTGGCTCCTGAGGCCCGAGAGTGGCTTCCAGACTCCGATAGGAAGGGACAACATTGTACTGGCGCGACCCACATTCGGGAAAAGCTTCCTATTGCATGGCCGCAGTGCTTGGTATTGCTTGGCGCTGCTTGGCGTTGCTATGCATTGCTTGGCGTTTAATCGCGTTGCTTGCATTGCTTGGCGTAGCTTGGCATTGCTTGGCGCGGCGTGGCATTGCTTGGCGATGCTTGGCGTTGCTCGGCATTGCTCGGCGTTGCTCGGTATTGCTTGGCGTTGCTTGGCGTTCCCGGGCATCGTGTGGCGAACCAAGACCAAGCAGCCATAGACCAAACAACCTTGGGAACGCAATGATTTCCCAATAAAAGAACAAGACTACGCAACACGGGGAACGCGGCAAACAAGACCAACCATACTGGGGCAACGCCACTGGAGGGAAACAAGGCCAAGCAACCACGAGGAACGCCGCAGGAAGGAATCGAGACCAAGCATTACGAAACCAATCAACCCTGGGGAACGCTGGCCGGTGTAGGCCTCGCACCCACCAGCTCTTCAAAAACAGGTAAAGCCACCCTAGTCAAAGCCTACTTGAACGACAGAAAGAGAAAGGTCTTACGCGAGGTGGCATAACGACCTTACGCCGCGGCTTACGCGAGCCGCCAGCGCGGTAGGCTGCATTGGAGACAAGGGCGCTTGCGTGGGAGCTCACGCGGGCGGCTTACGCGCCAATGTCGGTTAAGGCGACCGCGTTAGTCTACGTCGCTCACTTGGGGAACAGCTGCGACGCCAGGATCTCAAAGTCGGCGGCGGCCACCCATCGCGCGGCGGCGGCGGCAGGGGGGACAAGGTACCGATCACTCTACTCCCTGAACCTCTCCTGAGAAGCGACAAAAAACGCCTATTCCTTTGGCAGGGGACCTGAGTTAGGAGGGCCAAAAAGATTAGGGATGGGGGGTCTTTTTGTGACAGGTGTGCCAGACGGAACCACCCACACGATCAGGGATATCCCTCGAGGCCGTGGACAAGTTGGGCCAAGAATTCACTGCGTTAGTAAGGTCAAGGGGCTGCACTATGCTCAATGACCTCTCGGGGTGCGTCCTGCCCAGAAACTCCATGAGAATCCAGCCGTGGCGACGGGAGCTCTCCAGGCCGAGCGGCGGTATCGGCACGTGCTCCTTGCCCGAGCTCGGCGGCGGCGGCGGCGGCCCACGCTGCCGCCCGTCGCGCGGCACACCTCTCGCTCCGCGGCCCTCACGCTCCCGACAGCTTCGCCGGAGGTGGTCTCGTCTGGAAGCATCTCGTGATGGCCCCGGGGCCCGACGACCGGCCTCGAAAAAGCCGAAGCCGACCGAGCTATCAAAAACGCGCCTGCCAACAAAACACGCCTCGCCGCGCCGCTGTGTGTTCTGAAACGCGGCGGAGTGGACGAGGCCGGCCCCCGGCAGAGCGACGGCAAGCTCTGCGTCCGAGGCGGCGTTTGCCTCGGTGCCCGCGGCGCCCTCTCGGAGACGCAGGGGCCGCGCGTCGGCACGGACGGCGCGGCGACACCGAGAGAGCCAAGCTCGAGAACAGCAGCAGCAGCAGCAGCAGCACAAGGAAACAGCAGCAGCAGCAGCAGCAGCAGCTGCAGAGCGACAGCCCGGCGCCGGGCCTCGAGAGCACACGCCGCAAAGAAATGGCAGAAACGAACTGACTACCTACCAGACCACCCCAACCCAACCCGAAGACCCGAATTTGACCCGAATTTCGGGTTGGGGGGGGTACGGATACCATGTGTTTTTTCAGTGTTCCCCGACCCCCCCCCACTGGAAATCGAGGATAAATTTGGGCCTTCGGGTTGGGTTGGGGTGGTTTGGCGGGTGGTGACGAACGCCGCGCTGGAGCAAAAAAAAGTATCGCCCGAGATCGCGGCGAGGCCTCTCGCCGGCGATCTCCGACGCTCGACTCGTGGCGATATCGGGGCGCTCGCGCCGGCGGCGGCCGCGGAGCTCCGCCGCCGCCGCTCGTCCTCGTCCTCGTCGTCGTCCTCGTCGTCGTCGTCGTCGTCGTCGTCGTCGTCGTCGTCGTTGTCGTCGTCGTCGTCGTCGTCGTCGTCGTCGTCGTCGTGGTCGTCGTCGCCGCCGTCGTCGTTGCACTGGCCGCTCGCGCGGCGGGTCCCCGCGCGCGGCCTGCACCTCGCGCTCCGCGGCCTCCAGCCGGGCGCGCCCGGCGCTGGCGCGGGGCGGCGAGGCCTCGGCGCGGAGCCGCTGCGCCTCGGCCTCGCGCCTGAGGGCGGCGGCGGAGGGCGCTCGCCGGCGGCGGCGAGCAGCGCGGGAGTTCAGACTAGGCGGCGCGCACAAAGGGGGGGGGCAGAGAGGAGGGAGGGAGGCTGCTCCTTAGAAGGCGCCAGCGTCTGCGGAGAAGGCCCGCGCCTTCTCAGAAGCAGGGGTGCGTCTGAGGAGCGGCGCTCCGACAGGGAGTGTGTCGACCCCTATCCCAGGCTTCGTAGAGTTCTCGAGTGGACCGGAAATTGTGGCCCAATCAGGGAATATACAAGAAGGGGCGTCTTATCCTCGATAGGGGTGCGCCCGAACAGCCCCCTTGGGGTGTATCCCAGGGTTTCTCCCTTGTTCTGAGCAGCCAAACATATCAGGCAGAACTCAGGGCTTTTGGCGGCGCCCACAGCGGTCAAGAAACAACTCCTGGGAGGTCTTCGTCAGAAAGATCTTCAGACATTAAATAAGCCGAGCACGGGACAACTCAGCCTAGTTAGGCCAGATCCAGGGCGGGATTGAGCCGGAGCAGTAAGACGGAACTGGGACGGGTGCGAAATTTGTCTAGGATAAAAAGACGCAGGCGAGTTTCGTTTTCTAGCCGCGGGGGGGGGCGCCGAAAGCCCTTGGGCGTACTCGGCTTCACGAAGCAGGACGTGCGCTGCGGTGGAGATGAACCCTGTCACACATGTGGCCACTTGTGGCCACTAGTGCGCATGGGCGCGCCAGCAAGGGTCCGCGCGGGGGTATCTGCCAGCAGCCCCACGAATGCCCCAAGGGCCTGGCGGGCCTTAGGGTTCAAGTTCGCCACTCTAAAGGTATCAGACGAGGCGCCAGCCAATCGCCCGCCTCTGGCTGAAAATTTAAGCCTGTGAACCTGGACCACCGAATTCAAATTCCCACAGCGACCAGAACCAGAAACTGTGGCGCGCCATATCCCACCTGCCCTTTAGGGCGTAAGTGGTTTAGGGAGCTTCCTCTTCCAACCCGCCTTCTCCAACTTCGGGGAGGTGTTTATCATTCTGCCTCATTAGTAGTCACCCCCTCCCCCAGGCGACCGGCAGCCAACCAGGACCAATGCCACCACTCCCCCTGCCCATGTCAAGAAACAATGCGCAGAGCACTTTGGGGCAAACTCTGTGGTCATGCTCGTGAGCCCAACGAGCACTGTGCATTGTTTCTTGAAGAGAACGGCGGGGGGGGGCTCATACAACCCTGCCAAAAACAATACAACAGGCACTTCGCAGATAAATATTGGTCATGCGTTGTAACCTCGCGATCACTTTCCATTGGTAGGACCGCGGGCGTGCTGGCAGATTGCTTGCTATGTGCACGCCCACCAGACACCATGATGGCCCTCCCGCCGCGATTGTACACTGGTTTTCGACAAGGATGACACGCGCGTGGGCGCACTTGGCATAGTCTGCGCGTGCCCGGGACGTGGCGCACCTGACGCGGCTGGACCATGCGGCACACATGGCACACATGGAGCACGTGGCGCAGCTGGTGCGCGATGCGTGCCTGGCACGCTTGAGCCCCAGGGGTGCCTGAGCAAGCTTAACCCCCTCCCCCTCCCCCCTCCCCCCTCCCCACAGTTCTGGACGGGGCCTCCCGCGAGGCACAAGAGCGTCCAAGATGGCCTTGGCGAGGAAGCCAATATCATTGTGTGTGCGTGTGTGCGCGTGCGTGTGTATGTATGTGTGTGGGTGTGCGCCCGTGCGTGTGCGTGTGCGCGTGCTTTTGCGCGTGCGCGTGCGCATGCGCATGCGTGCGTGTGCGTGTGCGTGTACGTGTGCGTGTGCGTGTGCGTGTGCGTGTGCGTGTGCGTGTGCGTGTGCGTGTGCGTGTGCGTGTGCGTGCGCGTGCGTGTGCGTGTGCGTGTGCGTGCGCGTGCGCATGCGCGTGCGCGTGCGCGTTCGCGTGCGCGTGTGCGTGTGCGTGTTCGTGTGCGTGTGCGTGTGCGTGTGCATGTGCGTGTGCGTGTGCGTGTGCGTGAGCATGAGCGCGCGCGTGTGTGTGTGTGTGTGTGTCTGTGTCTGTGTCTGTGTCTGTGTGTGTGTCTGTGTCTGTGTCTTTGTCTGTGTCTGTGTCTGTGCCTGTGCCTGTGTCTGTGTCTGTGTCTGTGTCTGTGTCTGTGTCTGTCTTTCTGTGTGTGCGTGCGTGCGTGCGTGCGTGCGTGCGTGCGTGCGTGCGTGCGTGCATGTGTGTGTGTGTCTGTCTGTGTGCATGTGTGTGCGTGCGTGCGTGCGTGTGCGTGTGCGTGTGCGCGTGCGTGTACGTGCGCGTGCGCGTGCGCGTGCGCGTGCGCGTGCGCGTGCGCGTGCGCGTGTGCGTGTGCGTGTGCGTGTGCGTGTGCGTGTGCGTGTGCGTGTGTGTGTGCGTGTTTGTGTGTGTGTGTGTCTTATTGTGTGTGTGCTTGTGAGTGTTCCTGTTACTAAGGAATTGGCCACATGCTGGCCTGCTAGGGGCGTGGGGCCTGATTAAGGAGCCCCCCTCCGTTGATCAATCTCCTCCAGGATGGTCCCCGAGGCTCTCAAGAGTGCCCCATGATGTGCCCTGGAGGCCCCCAAGAGGCCCGAAGAGGCCCCCTAGATGCCCTCAAGAGGCTCCCAAGGGACCCGCCCAAAAGACCGTCAAGAGGCCCCCGAGAGGCATGCAAGACGACCCAGAAGGCCTCGGTGAGAAGGCCAAACTCATTCCTTATACGAAGGTTTGGGCCACATGTTGCCTTCCTGGGGGGAGAACTCTAATTAACGAGCCCCCCGCCTTTGATCGATGTCCTCCAAAATGGCCCCGAAATGGCCGCCGAAGCTCCCGAGAGGCGTCCTGGAGGCTTCTGGCCTTCTGGCCTTTCTGCTCGCCCTCGCTCGCTCGCTCGCTACGTACCACTGAGAATGCTCCGATTCACAAGGTGCACAATAATTTAAAAGGGTTGGGGGAGGAGGAGGAAAGAGGGGGGAGATCAGACGGGTCCGAAATCGACACTGTCCCGATCCGTCACATGCCCGTTCAGAAGCGGGTCGAGTGGCACAAAGAGTGCCTCCACGTCCTGGTCTAGGATGGAGCAGCCTGCAGCCTCCTCAAGAGACTGTACAGTGTGAGCAGATGCAAAGAGAGAGCCCCCCCATCCTCCTCCTCTTGGAGTACGACTTCTTACCCAGCCCTTTATTCCACTGCATGCCCTTCCACATCCCTGATCAGGGCAACTAATCTGGGCATCGTGTCTGGAATGGCTGGTGGGGTTACGCGAATCGACTAGAATTGAGAGTAAACGTTTCCCGTGAGATCCTCACACCTTCGACCTCTCCCTTTCGGTTAGTACTGCACGCAACGCTCGACAAAACGCCGCTTTACGTGTCTCGGAACTCTGTCAAAATCTCCGGTCCCGATTTGTCCGTCCTGTGCTTGTCTGAGCTTCTGCCGCCTCCCGAGCGAGGACTAGAAACATCGGCTCCCCAAGCGGTGTACGTAGATGCACGGATCCCAGCCTCGGGTGAGGTCTCCGGAGGTCTGAGGTCTCCCGAAGTCTGGAAGTCCCCTTGGCGGACGCCCAAGAGACCCTCGAGGAAGAACAGTTAGCATAAACATTAAACTGGCGACGGTCCGCGCGGCGCCGGAAGCGCCGCCAAGGGTGGACCAGAGCCGATCCAAGAGATCCGCGCGAAACTCCCAAAGTGTATATTCATGCCGTTTTTTTCTCGAAGGCCCCCGAGAAGGTCCAAGCACATCAAAATCCGTGCAGCTGCAGGGGGAGAAGGCCGGACGACACGAGCCCGTCGCCGCCTCGCGGCGTCCAGCTGGCTCTGCAGCGCCGACTTCTCCACCTCAAAGAAGGGGGCGGGTGGCGCGCCAGCCCAGCGGGGTCCAGGAGAGATGCGCGGGTGGGGCCGCGTCGGAGTCCTCCATCCGCCAGCACTCGCACGAGCCTCAAAACCCACAATCACTCCGACTGAACTTGTGCAGGGAAGGTGTTGAACGAATGGGCAGGCGATCGTCCCACGGCCCTGGGGCACTTCATGCTCGGCGTGATGCTCGTGGTCAGCGGTGGCGCCAGAGGCGATGAAGTTGTGACGGTCGCTCCGCACCCTCCGCCCCCCTCTCCTCCCCCACGCCCGAGGGGGGCACGGATCTTGGGAAGTCCGCGTGGCCTCCGCCTCCTCCTCCTCATCCTCCTCCTCCATCCTCCTCCTTCCTCCTCCTCCCTTCTCCTCCTCCTCCTCCTTCTTTTTCTCCTCGTCCACCTCCTCCTCGTCCTCCTCCTCCTCGTCCTCGTCCTCCTCGTCCTCCTCGTCCTCCTCCTCCTCCTCCTCCTCCTCCTTCTCCTCTTCCTCGTCCTCCTCCTCCCTCCTCCTCCTCCTCCTCCTCCTCCTCCTCCTCCTCCTCCTCCTCCTCCTCCTCCTTACCTCCCCCCCCCCCTGAAGCCCCACGCGTGGGAGTCTTCAGGCGTATTTGACGCAATCATCTCGCAGCCTTCCACACTCTACTTTGCCGCTCTGCGGTTAAGCGGGGGCTGCTGATCTGATGAGAGCTGACGCCCCTGACCCCCGTCCACCCCGCCTGCACCCCTCATTCCTCCCTTCCTCCCCCAATCTTCCCCCCGTCCCCCAATGGCTTCCTACGCCCTGGGCCTTGTGCGGAGGGGTCCGGCCGATTGCCGATTGCGTAAGGACCCCCCACGCGAAACAGCAGGTGCGTGATTCTTCTGGCGCGCCCAGTGCGGCTAGGTGCTCCCCTCCCCCCCCCCTCACCCCACCAAAGCTTGGGATGGGGAGGAGGGCCGAAGGTTGATTTTGATGGCCTCCCAAGCGAAACCGTTGGTTTGGGGCTTGGCGCATATTTCTGGGGCAGCTCCCGACTTCGAAGAGGGGCACAGGAGTGGAAATTCGAACTGTAATGTCGAGCCCTCCTTCGCAACCCCCGAAACAGCCCAGAGGCCCCCAAGTGGCCCGAAGGTCGCCTCGAGGTCCTCAGGAGGCACCAAAGAGGTCTCTAAGAGGTCACGAAGATGCCTCCAGAAAGCCCGACGGCCCCCAGGAAGTCCATCAAAGGCCTCCGAGAAGTCCCCTAAGAGGCCTCTTCTCCACGACCAAGTCGCGGTGGCGAGATGGCCAGGGTGCCACTAAAGAATGATCGACACACACACACAAAGACACCTACATCCACCCACAAATACACACATCCACACTGACACACACTGACACACACACACACACATCCACCCACACACATACAATCATGCATACCGACATATATACACATACACTCAGAAACACACATACACACAAACACACATACACATATACACACATACACACATACATAATTACATACACATGTACATAACATACATGCATATATGCGTACATGAATACATACACACATACATACGTACATACATACATACATACATACATACATACATACATACATGTCCAATTACATACCTACCTGCTCACATACATCTATACATACACACATACATACCTGCCCACCTACATACCTACATACACACATACGTACATACATACCTACATGCACATACATGCATACAAACATGTATACCTGCATACATGCATGCATGCATACATACATACACACGTACACGCATACATACATACATACATACAGACAGACAGACAGACAGACAGACAGACAGGCAGACAGACATACATACATACACACACATACATACATACATACATACATACATACATACATACATACATACATACATACACACATACAAACAAACAAACAAACAAACAAACAATCAGACACATACATCCATACATACATACAAACATACATACATACATATGTACACATACACACATACACATACACACATACATACATACATATATACATACATACATACATGCATACGTACATGTACGCATATATAGATATGTGTGTGCATACATACACACACGCACGCGCGCGCATCCACCCACTCACTCACTCACCCTCACACGCACGCATCCAAATACCCGCACAGACAACTGAGGCATTGGTTACATGGCAGAAAGTCGATCATCCGATCTCCATCCTGTATCTGCTGTTACTATCCTTGACAACACGTCTTCCTCACTCGTACACTCCTCCTTCTCCTCCTCCTCCTCCTCCTCCTCCTCCTCCTCCTCCTCCTCCTCCCCCTCCTCCTACTCCTTCTCCCCCTCCTCCTCCTCCTCCTCCTCCTCCTCCTTCTCCTCCTCCTCCTCCTCCTCCTCCTCCTCCTCTTCCTCTTCCTCATCCTCCTCCTCCCTCCCCCTTCTCCTCCTCCTCCTCGTCATCATCACCAGCATCAGCATCATCAACATCAGCATCAGCATAATCAGCATCATCAGTTAAATCAGCATCATCATCGTCGTCGTCATCATCAGCATCATCATCAACATCATCAGCATCAGCATCATCAGCAGCAGCATCATAATCATCATCAGCATCACCAGCAGCATCATCAACACCATCAGCATCAGCATCACGAGCAGAATCCTGATGATTATCATCATTATCATCAGTGGCGTCATCATCAGCAGCATCATCAGCATTGGCATCATCATCAACATTAGCATCATCATCATAATCAGCATCATCGTCGTCATCATCATCATCAGTCTGATCATCATCATCATCATCAGCATCATCAGTCTCATCATAATGATCATCTTAACTCGGATCATCAACAGCATCATCAGCATCATAATCGTCGTCTTCGTCATCGTAATCATCATCGTCAATGCCATCGTCAACATCATCATCACCATAATCATCATCACAATCAAATTTATCATAATCAGCAGCAGTATCAGCATCACCATCAGCATCAGCATTAGCATAACCATTGGCATCGTCATCATCAACAGCATTGTTGCCATCATCCTCGTCATCATCGACAGCAGCATCATCCCCTCCTTCCTCTCACCAAATACGGATGACATACCATATCTGATAAAAGACGTCGTGCGCCCAACAATGATACCGACATGTACGTGCGCCTGCACGTATGACTCTGCGGCAATCTCTGTCTCTGCCTCTGCTCCTGTCTGTCTCTCTGTCTGCCTGTCTGCCTGTCTGCCTGTTTGCCTGTCTGTCAGTCTGTCCGTCTGTCTTTTTGTCTCTCTGTCTGTCTGTCTGTGTATCTGTCTCTCTGTCTCTCTCGCTCTATCTCTCTCTCTCTCTCTCTCATTGTCTCTCTACAGGCAATGCAATCAAGCGCAAACATACACTGTCGCTGAACCCCCCTGCCCCGGAGCGCTCCGCGCCGCGCGCCAGGGCCGGCGACGGAGTCACCACTAGGAGGCTCCAACGCAGCTCCACGAAATCCAAACGGGCATCGGAAAGTGTAGATGCATGCGCGTGGTCTTCCTCGGACATCTCTCCCTCTCTCTCTCTCGCTCTCGCTCTCTCTTTCTCTCTCCCTCTCTTGTTCTCTCTCTGTCTCTCTGTCTCTCTGTCTCTCTGCCTCTCTCTCCCTTGTTTGTTGCCTCTGCCGATACCTCCACCTCCGCCTCTGCCCCTGCCGCCGTCTGTGCTTCTGCCACTGCATCTGCCAGTATGTCTGGTGTGCACATATATACAACCATACCTATATACACATGTGTATATGTGTTCCGGAACTTGGAAGATAAAAGCAGTACGAAGGACGTGCACGACGAGCGAACAAGCTTTGTGCCACTGTTGGCCAACATGTTGGTTTGACCGGGCCTCGGCGTGCCTGCTCAGCGTGTGTCACAGCGGCGGCCCCGGCGACACGTTATGCCCTGCGAATTGATAGCGTGTTGCTCCGCGCCACAGGGCGGGAGGCTGAGAAAAGCTTGGACCGCTGACGCCTGGGGACGGGGACGTGCTCCAACCAGCCCCGAACCTAGCCCTATCCCTAAGATTGACATTCCAAAAGGCGATGACAATCTCAGGGGTGCGCCCTCAGACAATGGGGGACCCTTACAATTGACATCGGGATGAGGCAATGCCAATTACAGTGATCAGGATATGCTCCAAGCTGGTAATGCTCAGCGTGTCGCGCCAAGGCGTGGTGGGCCAGAACCGGCGGCACGACACGCTGAGCCGAAGTTCCCGAAAGCACACATGCATATGGTGTGTATGTGTGCCCCGTTCGGCTCACCACCTCTGCAGCTGCATCGCGATCGAGGGACTGCTGCTTCAGCCGCGACACCTGCTGGCGGGGAGGGCGGCGGAGGACAGGAGAGATGGGAGGCCTGCCAGGTGCATGATATCGGCATGCTCTGGTGCTGCAGGCGGAGGAGAGAGCAGAGGAGGGATGGGACAGGGGATGCGAAGAGAGAGAGAGAGAGAGAGAGAGAAAGCGAAAGAGAGAGGAGAGATGAGGGGAGGGAAGAGCGGATCGAGCAAGTAGATGAGGGAGGAGAGGCGCGAAGAGAGGAGCAGGAGGACGGGAGCGAGCAAGCGAGAGGGGCACAAGGAGGGATGGAGAAGAAAAGAGGGAAGAGGAAAAAGAAGGAGAGGACGAGACGATGACAATGACGATGCTAGTTGAATACTGGGCGCCCTCTGCAATCGCGACTATGGTACTGGGCTCGTCCAGCACTTTGGCGAAGCTGGGCTGCAGACTTGGGGCACAAGCTCTTTGAGCCCACATGACTACGCATGCTCTGTGAGACAGGGGAGATCACTGAGCAGATCGGGGACGAGCAGGATGAGAACGGATATCGAGGGCAACATATGATCAGCCAAGACCCCGCGGAGCTGGTGGCACACGCTGCGAGCACGGATCGGCCAGAGCTTTGGGGGGGGCGATTATCGCTGATAGCTGGGCTTCCTCGCGGCGCCCAGGGGACGGTGGTAACGGGAGGAAGGAGGAAGCAGAATGGAAAGAGGAGCAGCAAGAGGAAATGGAAAAACAGAGTGGAGCAGGGAGGGGGGGCGGGGGAGAGAGCGAAAGAAGAGAGAAGTGGGAGGAAGAGGAAATGGAAAAGCAGAGTGGAACGAAAGAAGAGAGAAGTGGGAGGAAGAGGAGGAGGAGGAGGAGGAGGAGGAGGAGAAGGAGGAAGAGGAGGAGGACTCCGTGCGTCTCAGGCCTCACCGGTGGAGGACGGCCCTAGGCCCTGCTGGAGCGGTTGTCAATATTTTAACGCGTCTTGAGTGGCATGCGCTGTCTTGGGATGTTTGGGTCACAGCTGATGGGATGACGGGTAACATCCAAGAAGTGGGGCCTAGCAGTGTGTAGACCAAAGCGGACGAGGCCACCTGGAGGCTGCTGAGGATTCGCGCTGGGTCTTTTTACAATGAGTCTTGGGAGCCTCGTGTGGAGCCAGAGCGTGAAGAAATACCCAGATTATGACGTCTTGGAAGTCACTTTGAGGTGAGTCTTCTGGTGGCGCAGGTATCTGTGGGGCTCTTGACGCAGACTGACGTTCATGGGACGAGGTTCGTGGTGGATCCTGGGTGCCAGTGGTGCCTACAAAAGGAAAGCTCTCCGTTCACATAACATGGGGCTGCGATGACTCCTAGCTTCTGAGGCGGGATCATGATCATGGTAAGATACTTAAGCAGGAAGAAAGCAGCTGAACCCGACCTCAGGTGGACGAGGTCCCTGGTTGACTCCATGAGGACTGCCTTTTCCACAGATAGTCCAAAGTGCTGGTTTCAACTGGACTGTGAGGCCCCGCGACGGCACGCTCGGAGACACGGCACTCAAAACAGGATGGGCGTTGGTGTCGATCAGGCGAAACCTTGATGTTGAAGCGGGGGCCGACGGGCCATCGCCCCCAGTTCAGGACGCTCCGTCCAGAAAGCTGTACGCATTCTACATGGCCAGTTGTCACCTGGGGGCGCAAATTTGTGCCATCACAGACTGCAAACGAGTGGAATGCTGGGAAGGAGGGGACCATGAGGGCAAATACATGCGATGCTGAGCTGTGGAGATCCATCTGGAACAGGGCCGACGACGCAGGACCGCATGCGATCGAGGTCTGCTGGATGCTTTCGCATATAGTTATCGACAAGCGCGGCGGACGAGTCGCCGCTACGAGCCGCGCTGTTCTCGAGGCAGCCAGGAAACATATTCGTGGGCCGAGAAGGATGCAAAGGCGCACCCCATGAATTATCGTCGGGGTCGTCTGAATGTTCACCATGACCAAGTTACGCATATCGAAATATACGGCAGCGGTTCTCAAGCGTGTTCAGTATCTACGAACAAATGATGAGCCAGCAAATTCTAAGCGGGTTAAAGGGAAGTCTAGGGGCCGCACAAATTCAGAGGCCCCGATTAGTTGGATAGCCCCAGGTGGTAAAACAAGTCACGTTGCCCCACGAGCTCCTGATGGCGGATCGGGAAGCAACATCCGTGGACAGAGACGATCCGTGCGATCGCGGCTGGTGCTACTGCTGTGCCCGGGAGTTCCATGGATCGTTTCTCAAGCTCACCTCGCCCACGCACCCTGGCAAAGCGGGGGGCTCACCTGGTGCATCCAAAATGGAGTCGATTTCCGTTCCAGGGTGAAGTTGAAACAAAAGAAGGACCCTTCGAGCACCGCTCGGGGGCGGTCACCCCATTGCTGCTCAGGCAAATGCAGCCGAGCGTTTTGCAGGGCGGGCGGCTCGCGACATCGGGGCGGCCGCTGATGGGGCGCAGGGCGCAGAGCAGTAGGTGGAAGAGGCCTGGGTTCCAAAGCCTGGCAGTCAACGACACTGCAGATCGATGTGACTGGCCGGGTGCAACTTCGATCATAGGTGCGTGGCCGCGCCTCGACACGCCCATTCCACATCTCTTTTCTACAATGCCATTCCCGCAGACTCCTCTCTCACTCGCCACGATAGGCAAGAGGTTGAATCCAGAGACCCCTTGGCAACGGAGGCTTCAGCAACAGAGGGCAGATGCGCGTGTATGTCTGCGCCTAGCCATCACGCGCAATATTCCCTCTGCACATCAGTCAGCACTGCTTGCTCAACACATGGATCATTCCCGCTCAGCAGGCCCGATCCCTGGATGCACCGAGATGCGTGAGAACTGTTCCAGAGCGGTCGAAGGCAATCATTGGAAGTGTCTGCGCGGTCAGCATTTCAACAACAACCAGCCTCGGGGCCAGAGGCATCAGTGGAACAAATGACCTCGTGGACAAATTCACCAGCCTCGTAAATCGGACGCATCGCGGCATGGATCTCGCCGAGATCCCAGACGGCCTCGCAGAAGGCAAGGGCCAATGCCAGGATCATAATGGTGGAGCCGCACGTCCCGAACAATTACGTGCCTTTCCTTCCAAAATCCTCCCGATCACACGCATTATGGTGGGCAACCCCATCAAGCAACCGTGGTCTGGCGGATTGAGCCGCCAGGTGATCCGGCAACACTGCGCGACTACAAGTCGAGGACCTTCCTGCGCATGGACGCACTGTGTCAGTTAGCTCTGGGGGCTGGGCAAGCTGGCAAGTCGATTGATCCTTTCGTTGCGGAGTTGCCAGCGTTGGTACAGAGCACGGATAAGGCAAAGACACGGCTCGGCAAATTGAGACCCATGCCTGGTAGCACCACCGATAAGATGTAAGCCATTCGTGAAAACATGCCGATACTCACAACGTAGCAGAGCAGCTGAAAATGGAGTTAGAAACCATCGCAAACAACATCCAGGAGGTCAAGGAGGTGAGCAATATGCAAATGAATATGCCATCGATATTGAAGACATGGATTGGCTTGGGCCAGGCATGACAGCAGGTGGTGTTGCTCCTCAAGGCCATGCTGCGCATCAACCGATGAAGCCCGCACCGCCTGGCCCTTGGTCACCCGTGCAGCCCATGTCTGGGCGCCGTGGCCCCTCGGGAATGCCCGCCCCACCGCCGCCGCAGCCACCCCCAACACGGAGGTGACAGGGGCATGGGCATGGGCAAGCGCATGGACATGGGCAAAGGTGGCCCGCACATGTAGGTTTCGGTCTACTGGGGCATCAGCAAGGCCAGCATCCATGTCATCAGCCAGGACAGCATGCAGGTCAGCAACAATTCCAGCATAGTCATCACGGTCAACAGCCAAGTACTCAGTAATTTCGGCATGGTCAGCATGGTCAGCAGCTGGGGCACCAACGTGGGGCACAAAATGGTAAACTCCCGAGCCCGCAGCGACCGCCACCACCGCCTCCGTCGCCATTCACAGAATCGCAGGTGGGTAAAACCATGAACATTTTGAAGCGCTCATCAGAGGCGTCCGTGCGCCAAGATAGCGCGATTACGCACTTGCGCCATGTCGTAATCAGTCTACCTGCGCAGCCTGCCGCACCTGGTCCCGCGGCGAGGGTTCCAGGCCCAGCTGGGGCGCCACTGCGGCCCCGCCAGGCAGCGGGCAATGGCCCGGAGCGAGCAAGAGCAGAACCAGCAAAGGCGTCATCGGCGGCAGGGCCAGGGGCTCCCGCGCCACCTACTGGGCCGCTTCTCCTGCGCCAGTGGCAGCGACAACATTGCCCATGGAAGTGGCGCCGCCTCCGCGCGGCCGCGCGCCCACGTCGCCGAGTATCCCAGCTGCCCAGCCCTGTCCAATGAAAGAGGGGCCGAATGTAAACCCCTGCCCTACACCGGAAGCGCCGGCCAAAAGCATGAGGGAGGCAGACGACATCAAGAAGGAGAGTAAGGAAGAGCCACCGAATGCAGCTCCCTCCCAGATCCCCCGCCCGTACTTGGATCCCATTTCGCCGACGCAGCCTCGCGCGCCAGCGGATGGAGGGGACTTCGCGCAGTTGGCTCCGCCAGCGTTCCCCAGTCGCAGAGTCGCCGATCGACGTCCTCGATGCTCAAACACAGTTGACGAGGACACAGACCCAGGCAGAGATGATGAAGATCGAGGCCGCCCACGGCGCAGACAAGCCAGTGGGCGGCGAAGAGTTGGCGAGCAGTCCGCCTCGCAAGATGCCCAAGGCAGGAGGCGCATGAGCGTTGCCATTGCGCACCCACCCATTAGCCAGCGTCCCCAAGCCTATCCCCACCTCGCACATAGGTTCAGGAGTGGTGAGGTTAGAGACTAAACACTTGTATCTCTTCCTCTCCACTGCCTGGGAATAACGCATTATTCGCTCTTCTTCGTGATGTGACTTCCGACCTGGCTTGCTCGCGCGCTAATAAGGCCCCTCGAACACGACAAATCGCTAGTTTTCGGCCTTGCATCCTCACCAGCGCTCGTGCAAATATCGCTAGGCCCACGGGCAGTGGGTCAGCAACTTCACTCGGGGTGGATGGGGGGGTCTCACGATCGGGGGGGGGGGGCGGAAGCAAAGCCTTTTCAGACCGTGCCTCGAATTGCTTCTTGACTTCCCAGCCGCAGCGCGAAACCGTCGGCCCGGAGAATGCCCCCCCGGCGGCCCTGTGTATAGTGACGGGCCCCCTTTATATCGAGCCGCACGGGTGGCATCGGACAAACCCATTTGCGCCCAGAAGCAGGAGATGCAGGCAGGAAGAGTGGGAGGTGGAGGATTAAAGCTGGTGGAGAAGGGAGCTCGCCGGTCACGCGCGGCCCTGCCGCTGCGGCGGCAGCGGGGATCCGTCTGCCTACGCGCGAGCCACGCACACTTGAGACACGGCAGATGCCGAATGTCTGGCTCTGCGATGTTTCACCGAGTTCGCCCTGCTCTGTTTCATGACCAACGCGTTGCGCGAGGA